TCCTGCTATTTGGGTTCGACTCCTGCCGACGCTGCGAGTTTTTTTTCTCACAATTAGGTCAACTAAATTAAGCAAATCTGTCAAATCCACCAAATAATTAACTGTTATTTTTAGTGGGCGTACATGCCTAACCAGCCAATTCTGACGATTCGTAGGTGGTATTGCATCAGTTCTGAACGACAGAGCTATTCAATAAAATACAGTGGAACCGCGGTTATTGAGTGTACTCTGTTCCGGCATCGAGCTCGTCATATTAAACGTAGCCAATCAAACTGCATCAGTTCACTGATTTGCTGCAGGCGACAGAAAACTCACGCCCTGGGACCAAGACTCAACGGCATTAACTGAGCGGAAGCTGGTCAATCGAAATAAATTCTCCGCAATTCGTAGGCGGTCTTGCTAAAGCACCAGTTTTGAATGGCAAAGCTAGAGTCACGAAAATAGCCCAAAACATATTCACTTGAACCTCTTTCATGATTAGAAGCCGATGAAGGGGGAGTAAAACAAGAACAATTCACCGCTTCGAGAAGGGCTGGTCTGCGACGATGGGAATCGCGTGAACGGAGAAGTCATTAGGGCGATCGACGACGAGGAAGACAGGCCGCTTACTGAAGGGTAGATGGTCCTTCTCCTGCGTGACATCCGCATCAACAAACATCTCCTTTTCCAGTGCGAAGAAGTGTTCCTTCCAGGGACAGCCAGATGGGGTCAGCCGCATAATCAGGCCAGAGGGGTGGACGGAAAAACGTGACTCTAGGCCCTTCGCCACAAGGGTTTTGGCCGGCAGCCATACGGTTGCCAAATTCTGAATACTCTCCACTAATTCGCCAGTAACCAGAGCTAGGGCCTTGGAGAAGCATTGCTGCAGGCCATGGTGAAGAGAATGCAGAAATGTCTGGTGATAACAAAAGAGGAGTTCGGACTGCAGTAGGTTGCAGAACTCAAAAATACGAAAATTTAATTAATCATTATTATTAGAAGTCAGTTTATGGCAAACTCAGTTTATGGGTCAACTCAAATTATGGCAAACAATTGTTTTCAGCAACTCTTCATCAGACCAAACATTTGCA